AAATTAATTGTATATAACATAAAAGCGAAAACTCAGAAAAAGACATGAAATGTCACATAAAAATTAAAGGAATATATATAAAGGATGAAATACAGGCTGCGAGAAGAGTTAATAGCAAATCCCAAACACCTAAGATCTAGAAAATTTCTGATGCAGCGTAGCGTAGACGAAAGGATACACGAGTATCAAAGTCCCGAAAAATATAATTTTATTCAATATCAACCAATTCATTCATAAGATACTACATTCATATATATAGTATTTTTGTAGTCTTCATAAGACTTCTCGATCCCCAACAAGACTATCTTCTTAGTTTTTCCATACAAGTCTAACTTATTTTTAGAATTGCACACTCAGTCAAGTAGGTAGTAGTAGTAGTAGTAATAATAATAATAATAATAATAATAATAATAATAATAATAATAATAATAATAATAATAATAATACTAAGAGTCATGCACACAATCCATGCAAAACTCATGCGTGACGTCGACGTCGCTCGTATTTCTCCAAGAACGCCAAGGCGATCTCGTCTCCATCATCCTCTCCAGGTTGAGGAGGATTCGCCCGCAAATCCGAATGGATCTCGTCTCCATCTGCTTTATCGCCCAAATATGGCACCAAACGTACTGACACCAAAGTAGTACCCAAAGCATGAATCGCCAATCGTTTTCCCCTATCGTGCACGAAGGTTAAATACTGCCCAACCAGTTCAACACTCCCTGTTATTGTGTATATTTGTGTATTTACCGTATTATCCTTAAGCTATTTGTAGCCCTAATTTTGTGTATATATTCTTGGTTAATACACAGTTGTATCATCCAATTGAGATGATCTTTCCCACCGTCTTCGTGTCGTCTCTTTTGTATCATGGTATCAGAGACATAAAATCTTTCTAATTTTTTTCATGTCCAATTTAATCGCATCCTCACGATCAATTGTTGTTCTTAATTCCAATCTCGATTCGGCAACGTCATGCTGATTCGGCCCTTCGTCCAGCCAAGGTCTGCAAATAATCAAATTGTTCATGCCTAGGGTAGCATATTTCAATTGCTGTTCACGCAATTCAAGTGTGATTGAATTCCAAAGTGCTATTTATTTAATTGTTCATGTCCAAAGTGCTGCTGATCTCGCAACTCAACAGTGAGACAAGTTTTAATTGCTAATTGCGATTGATTGTGACTGCNNNNAATAATGGTTGATTCTTCACTGTCTAGTTTCAGTTCCAGTAGTGGCCGTAGTTGTAATTCTAGTGGTGACCACCGTGGTGGAGCTCACGGCAAAAGTGGTGCTTGTGCGAATGCAGCGTTCTCCAGTGGTGCTTGTATCGGTGATTCGTTTATTGCCGGTTTTGTTGGTTCTTCTACTGCTAGTAGAGTTTTGTGTGATTCTGATCGTCTTGCACTTGGCGGTTTAAACAATGAACAATGGGACCACTTTGTGTTTTTGGTTAATTCAGCTGAACAAAATAATTCCTTGCCTGTTACGCGTGGTTTATTTGATTGGATGTATGACTGTGGGGCAACTCATCACATGACAGGGTTCTTGGAGTTTATTTCTGATGTTCGAGATATTCCCTCTCGTCCTGTTCAATTGCCTAATGGTTCTTTGACTATGGCTAGCAAGGCTGGGACTGTTTGTTTGGGATCTGATATCACTCTTTATGATGTTTTATACGTTCCCAGTCTTCGGTGCAGCTTGATTTCATTATATCAATTGCTGGATCGTTCCGACTGCACTGCTCAGTTTACTAACAAATTCTGTGTTATCCAAGACCGCACTTCGCGAAAGGTGATTGGCGCGGGTGAGCAGTTGGGGGGTCTCTACTTCTTTCGAGGGAAAGTTTCTACGACAGTTTCTTGTGTTCGGAAAGTTTCTGCCGACGTGTGGCATCAACGTTTGGGTCATCCATCTGCTCAAGTATTGTCCCAGGTTCCTGTTATTGATTCTAGTTCTCGTAATTTGCATAAATCGTGTGATGCTTGTTTTCGTGCTAAACAACATCGTCGTAGTTTTCCTCTCAGTCAGACTGTTAGTCATGAGACTTTCCAGTTGATTCATTGTGATTTGTGGGGTCCGTATCGTGTTCCGTCATTCTGTGGTGCACGGTATTTTTTGTCTATTGTGGATGATTGTTCTCGTGGGACATGGGTTTATTTATTAAATGATAAGACGGAGGTTGCTTCCACATTGCTAAATTTTTTTTCTATGATTAAGCGACAATTTGATAAATTGGTTCGTGTTGTTCGTAGTGATAATGGAAGTGAGTTCATGTGTTTGGCCTCTTATTTTCGTCGTCAAGGGATTTTGCACGAGACTTCTTGCGTAGGCACCCCTCAGCAGAATGGGCGTGTGGAACGCAAACATCAGCATATTCTCAATGTAGCTCGTGCTTTGCGTTTCCAGGCTCATCTGCCTCTTCCTTTTTGGGGTCATTGTGTTTTGACTGCGGTCTATCTGATAAATCGGACTCCTTCCTCGGTTTTACATGGTAAAACTCCATATGAGATTCTTTATGGTTCGGCTCCTTACTTGTCTCATTTGCGGGTTTTTGGCTGCCTTTGTTATGCTCATAACCAAGATCGTAATGGTGACAAGTTTGCGGCACGGAGTCGTCGTTGTCTATTTGTCGGTTACCCTTTTGGCAAAAAGGGGTGGAGTTTGTATGATTTGGATCGTCAGATTTTCTTTGTCTCCCGTGATGTGGAGTTTCTTGAGACTGAATTCCCATATCAGTCAGACTCGTTTGAACCAGATTCTTTGCCACCGTCTCTTGTTGTGCCGGTTTCTTCTGTGCCAGATAATGATGAGGATTTTCCAGTTGTCTCTTTGCCTCATGTTTCTCCTGATACTGGGTCTTCTGCTACTGATATTGATACGTCTGACGACAGGGGGGTTTCCGTTACCATTACCCCTCCAAGTCTTCCAGTGGAGCCCTTGGGTCGTGGTCATCGGACTAAGGTTCCTTCTACTCGGTTGAAGGATTTTGTGGTTGACACTGTCCGGCCCTCGGTTGTACCCCCCACTACTTCTCCCCAGTCGTCTTCATCCTCTGGTACGCCTTATCCCATAGCACATTATGTTTCTTGTGATTCATTCTCTCTAGCTCATCGAGCCTTTTTGGCTGTTGTCGCCTCCGCTACTGAGCCTCGCACTTTTGCTGATGCGGTGACTGATCCTCGATGGCGAGCCGCTATGCAGGATGAGATTCGTGCCTTAGAGAATAATGGCACGTGGGATGTAGTTTCTCTTCCATCTGGGAAGCGTGCGATTGGGTGCAAGTGGGTCTTTAAGATCAAGCATAAGTCCGACGGTTCAGTTGAGCGCTATAAAGCGCGTCTGGTGATTTTGGGAAATAATCAGGTGGAAGGTCTTGACTATCATGAGACGTTTGCTCCGGTCGCTAAAATGGTTACAGTCCGATTATTCTTGGCTGTGGCTGCTGCTAAGCATTGGGAAGTTCACCAGATGGATGTTCACAATGCTTTTCTTCATGGTGATTTGGCTGAGGAGGTTTACATGAAGTTTCCACCCGGTTTTTGCTCTGGCATTGGCGGGCAGGTTTGTCGTCTTCGTCGTTCCCTCTATGGCCTGAAGCAGGCTCCCCGCTGTTGGTTTGCCAAGTTGTCTACGGCTTTGAAGCTGTATGGTTTTTGTCAGTCCTATCATGACTACTCTCTTTTTACACTGCATCGTGGTTCTGTCCATCTGCAGGTCCTGGTCTATGTTGATGATCTGATTATTTCTGGGAATGATACCACATCTATTGCGGCCTTCAAGAGTTACTTGAGCCGTTGTTTTTACATGAAGGATCTTGGGTTGCTTAAGTATTTTCTAGGTATCGAGGTTGCCCGGAATTCTTCTGGCTTCTTTCTCTGTCAGCGGAAGTATGCTCTTGACATCATTGCTGAGGTCGGACTACTAGGGAGCAAGCCAGCTGATTTTCCATTAGAGCAGAATCATCAGCTCCCTCTTGCTGAGGGTGATCTATTGTCTGATCCCGAGCGATATCGTCGTTTAGTCGGACGTCTTATCTATCTGGTAGTGACTCGACCTGAGTTGTCTTACTCGGTGCATATGCTCTCTCAATTTATGCATCAACCGCGTCAGGCTCACTGGGACTCTGCTCTACGTGTAGTTCGATATTTGAAAGGCTCTCCTGGTCAGGGGATTCATCTTCGTACTGACTGCGATCTTCAACTCTATGCATGGTGTGATTCGGATTGGGCGTCTTGCCCTCTCACTCGGCGCTCTCTTTCGGGTTGGTTTATTCAGCTGGGTCAGTCTCCTATTTCTTGGCGAACCAAGAAACAACCTACTGTTGCTCGCTCCTCTGCTGAAGCTGAATATCGGGCAATGGCTACTACATTGTGCGAGCTGAAGTGGTTACGGGGTCTTTTGTCTACTCTTGGTGTCGCTCACTCTCAGCCTATGCGTTTACACTGTGACAGTCAGTCTGCGCTGCATATTGCGGCGAATCCAGTTTTTCATGAGCGCACCAAACACATAGAGGTAGATTGTCACTTTGTTCGTGATGCTGTTCTACAGGGTCTCATTTCTACTGCTCATGTTCCTTCTGGAGAACAACTCGCTGACATCTTCACCAAGGCGCTTGGGAAGCGTGAATTTGATTTCTTTCTTGGCAAGTTGGGCATTCGGAATCCGCATGCTCCAACTTGAGGGGGGGTGTTATTGTGTATATTTGTGTATTTACCGTATTATCCTTAAGCTATTTGTAGCCCTAATTTTGTGTATATATTCTTGGTTAATACACAGTTGTATCATCCAATTGAGATGATCTTTCCCACCGTCTTCGTGTCGTCTCTTTTGTATCACTCCCCTCCAAAATTGCCGAACAATTAGCCGCCCAGAATGAAACAACTAGTGCACCAGCAAACTCCATGACATTAACGTGTTCTAGGAAAACTTTGACCTCTCTATATTCATATAATTCAATTAGCCTCTACATGTCCACTACAAGAGCACCAGTAGCAGCAGGGTCATAGAGCCTTGCCTGGGGAATCCAATCCAGAGACACCCATCAGGTTAGTGTGTTCAAAAAACTTCCTATCTGGAAATTGCAAGAGGATGGTATCTTCTGGTCCAAAGTTCACTACGTCCAATGCTCCAATACTAAGAACGAAAGGTATCTTCATGTCCATGTCCCCGCAAAGATGTTTCTGTGTCACTGGAGGCTCTTCATCAAAGATCGGTGGACTGTCGTTGAAATCACCCGCGTCGGGGCCAAAATCCTGGTATTCCTTATCAAAGACTGGCGGGCCGTCGTAAAACAAATGGTCGCCCAGGTCACCATGCACGCCGTCATCCTCCCGATGATCCGACACCTCGAACGGGTTAAACTCCTCCACCATAGCGTCGGAGTCGCCGTCCTCCTCCCACCACGGCGAACGAACACCCCCAGCACCAGCGCGATCGCGACCCCCGTGGTCCGCACGCATCCCGCCCAGACCGCCGGCTCGCCCCTCGAGTCCGTCGCGGTTCGTTTGCTCACGTTCCAATACCGTCTGGAGAGTCAGATGAATGGCCTCCATGCCTGTCGTAAGGTTCGTCATGTCACTACCAATCGCTTGAAATTGCCGGCCGAAACCCTCGACTTGGCGATTCAAGGATTCGATTGCGGCGTCGTGCTGATCGTTGGCCGTGTCGTTCCACCTTGGCGGCATCTCGGGATCGTTTTGGACTCTGGATACCAACTGATGCAGCGTAGCGTAGACGAAAGGATACACGAGTATCAAACTCACGATAAATATAATTTTATTCAATATCAACCGATTCATTCTTAAGATACTATATTCATATATATAGTTTTTTTTTAGTTTTCATAAGACTTCTCGATCCTCACCAAGACTATCTTCTTAGTTTTTCCATACAAGACTTTTGAATGACTCTTAGACTTTTTAATTTATTTTTAGAATTCCATACTCAGTCAAAAGTAATAATAATAATAATAATAAGAGTCATGCACACAATCCATGCAAAATTCATGCGTGACGTCAACGTCTCTCGTATTTCTCCAAGAACGTCAAGGCGATCTCGTCTCCATCAATTTCTAAAAGACAAATAATTAATATACATTATGTAAAATCACCATGTTGCTAATATATAAAATATGACACATATCAAGCTATAGACATAAAAGAAAGAAAATAAACCGACCTGAAACCTTTAAGAACAACATTTCTAGAACCAATATTTCCAACACAATCAGCCTATTTATACCAACGACCTCAACACTATAGTTAGTCCATACACGTCCCGTAAAAATCTTTGTGAACATATATACTGTTGAAATAAGGGGCATATATATGTATCCTTACTTTCAATTGCAAAATAAGCCAAAAAAAAAAAAAAAAAAAAAAAGATGCAAAGGAAGTGTTAAAAAGAGTAGCAAAAAGATGACATAAAAGCCAAATTATAATTACAGACCACTTGATTTGTACACTCCAAAGAACCTAAGGTAAATCAGTGTCCTTCTTTTTGGGATGGATCGACATTATCAAGTCACCAGATTTTATCAACAAAAACACAAATCAATCATAGTCAAATATTTTTCATCAAAATTACAGTAGATGTATTATTTCCCAAAAAAATAAATAAACCAAAAATTGCAGAAATTATAAATACATACCATGTAACCACATGACGGGATGCATCTAGATTAATTTGTGGATGGAAGCAAGAATAATGAGGCTAGCTGCAACAACAGACAACTATAGCAAAACTGTTGGTGACCATTAGTGTTAGCTCTTGCGGCTACGTATTTGGTTGTCTTATGAGTTTCCTAGTTAGGCCTTTAGAATTTCATGTATAACTTGGACACATTTACTAAACAATTAAACCCCACATAAAACTCAAATTAGAGGATAATGCTTATATATGGATCCAAAGCAACTTCAACATAATACAAAGCAACTATCGTACCCATGAGTGAGTTTTGCATCTTCAACTGCAAATAAATGGCAAAAATGTAATTTGCTTCAACATTAACTATAATAAAAAACAACCAAACAATGTATTTGTACCTTGTTTTATCACATGACAAATTCTACTAATATGAGAATTAATTAGGCTATTAAGAGACTGTAACCAAGTGCAGTACGTGTTAACAAATTAAATTTTACAGGATAAAAATGGCCAAAAAACTCGCTCACTGAAAAAGTAATAAGATAAAATCATCATTCATCAAACGCTGGTAATAGCAACAAGCATCATACATGTTGGGTAAAACCTGAAACGAGTCAAAAGATAATGGTCTAAGGACATGTTCAAACCAAAACAACAAAACTCCAAGATATGACCAAGCGTGTTGACAGCAAAATCTTAACCAGGGTACTAAATGTCGACAAAAGAAAAAAGAGCAAAGCAATCACCCAGACTAAACAATCCATCAGAGTCAGGACACCATATCAACTTTTATGATAGGGCTGCAAATGCGCACAAGTTCCGTCATCCTATGGTTGATCTCATCCACACTAGCCTTCATCCAATTCATCTCCCTCACCCACTGAATAACCGACACCGCCGCATCCTCCACCATTCTCTTGTCGGCCGCCGCCAGCTCGGCTGCAGCCCTGACCGTGTTCCTCACGTTATAAGCGTAATTCTCGAGGTTGTTCCTAGCTTTGACCCTCCTCCTGTACTCATCATCCTCCCCCCTGTGCCTCGCGGCATCCCACACTGTCCTATTAATCTCCTCTTTCGACAACCTCCCTTCTTCGTTGGTTATAGTCATCCCGTTTGTTCTGCCCGTCGACCTCTCTTTGGCCGACACACTGAGTATGCCGTTGGCATCAATTTTGAAGCACACGTCCAGCTTGGGCACAAGCCGCGGAGCAGCTGGGAATCCCTCCAGCTGGAACTGCCCCAGCAGGTTGTTGTCCTTTGACCTCACTCGCTCACCCTCGTACACCTTGAAAGGCACAGATGTCTGGTTATCGGTACCCGTGCTTAATGTAAGCTCCTTCTGGGTGGGGACAGTCGTGTTCCGTGGAACCACGACGCACATGACCTCTCCGGTGGTGTTTACTCCGAGGGAGAGAGGGGTCACGTCGAGGAATACGAGGTCCCGCACATTGTCATCCCCTATGCCACTTAGGACGGCCGCCTGCACGGCAGCCCCGTACGCAACGGCCTCATCCGGGTTAATGCTCCTGCACAGCTCCTTTCCCTCGAAAATACACTGCAGCATCTTCTGAACCTTGGGAATCCTGGTCGAGCCGCCAACCAAAACGACATCATGGATGGCAGTCTTGTCCACCCCAGCATCTCTCATGCAACTCTCGACAGGCTCGACGCACTTTTCAAACAGGTCCATGTTGAGATCCTCGAATTTAGCACGAGTAATGCTAGAGTGGAAGTCAATTCCCTCGTGCAGACACTCAATGTCCACGGTAGTCTTAGTATTGGTCGAAAGAAACCTTTTCGCCCTCTCGCAAGCTGTCCTCAGCCTCCGTAGGGCCCGTGGGTTTTCGGAAAGGTCCTTATAGTACTTGCGCTTGAACTCTTTGGCAAAGTGAGCGACAATACGGTTGTCGAAATCCTCCCCGCCAAGGTGGGTGTCGCCAGCAGTGGCCCTCACCTCAAAGGTACCCTTTGATATTGTGAGGATGGAGACATCGCAGGTGCCACCGCCTAAGTCAAAGACCAACACATTCTTCTTCTCTCCCTTGTAGTTGAGGCCATAGGCAATGGCAGCAGCAGTGGGCTCATTGATAATGCGGATGACATTGAGGCCGGCAATGGCACCGGCATCCTTGGTAGCCTGTCTCTGAGAGTTGCTAAAGTAGGCGGGCACAGTGATGACTGCATCCCGGACAGGGGTGGGGCCCAGAAAGGAGTTGGCAATGGCGGCCATCTTGGTTAGTACCATGGACGATATCTCCTCAGGGGGAAACTGCTTCTCCTCCCCATTGTGGGAGACTACAATCATGGGCTTGTCCGTGGGGCCCGGGACAACCTTGAAAGGCCACAGCTTTATGTCGGCTTGCACAGAGGCGTCACTGTATCGTCTCCCGATCAGCCGCTTGGCATCTGCATATCACCCAACACGGTTAGAGGCAGAGTAGGTTTTTTTTTTTTTAATATGAACTAATACCAATATCTTTTTTTTTTTCTTAATATGAACTAATACCAATATCAACACCTCACATTCACATATATACTGTGCAACTAAAATTCAATACAACACTACGAAAGTTAAGGAAGGAATTCAATATAACACTACGAAAATAAAACAAAAGAAAAATTGGGGAAAAAAGCTGCTCACCAAAGACTGTGTTTGCGGGATTCATGCCGGCCTGGTTAATGGCGGCTTCGCCAATGAGACGCTCGCCGTCGGCAAAAGCGACATAGGATGGCGTGGTGCGATTTCCTTGATCATTGGCTATGATCTCGACGCGGTCGTGGTGCCACACGCCCACGCATGAGTAAGTGGTCCCCAAATCAATCCCGATTGCAGGCCCCTCGCCTTTTGCGGCCATTACTGAATCAAAAATTTGAGCGAGAACTTGAATATATAATCACAATCAAACTGGTATGGTAATTAATCAGCTCGCACCTCTTGGATGGTTGGTTGTATTATTAATTCAAGTGTCAATTCCGTACACAGTGAGCATCTCTAATAACAAGTTTTCATGAGGTTTGAAAATATAAACGGGCAAATTGTATCGTAGGGTTTTGACGTTTGAATTTTTAACTTTTTCATTTGAAGGTTTTAATTTTAACTTATTTTCAATATAAGACATACTTTTACATTATATGTTTCAATTTAAGACTCCAAATCATTTTCTATTTTGATATAATTATGTAAACAACAATACATTTTCTAAAATTTATTTTTATGTACTTATAATGAAAAATATTAAATACCTTTAATAAAATTATCTAATAAGTTAATTCTTTCATAATTTATATTTATGCAAAAGCTTTATGAATTTTTTTTAAAAGTTAAAAAATAAATTTTAAGTTAATTTTAATCTAAATATGTGATAACATTAAAATATAAACTATTTAGAAGAATAATTTTATTTTTTTTAAATAAACTTATAGAAAATATTATTTGTCAATAAAATTTATATTTTTGAAAAAGTTAAGAATATATAATATTAGTACCCGGAAAATTCTATTGTAAAATTCACAAATAATATTTTCTATATATTTATTTAAAAAAATTAAACTTATTTTTCTATAGAATAACTTAAAATTGGAAGCTTTAATTGGTGATGGGAGGAGTAGCCCGCTTATTAGGGATGACCATGGGTCGGTACGGTTCGGAGACTGATAAATCTCCAGAATCGTACCGAAATTCGGAGATCACTAAAATTCGATCTTCAGAACCGTACCAAAAATCGGTTCGGTCCGGTTCGGAGATTTTTATTTTTTGGTTCGGTTCGGTTCAATTTTCGGGACTATCGGAACGGTTCGGTTTGGTTCGGTTCGGTTCGGTTCGGTTCGGATATTCAGAGATTTATTATTATTATTTTTTTGAATGATCACCTAGTTATATTTTATTTTTTGTATGTTTTTTTTTTAAAAGAAATCCAACATTCATCTATACTTCATCATACTAAAGATTTTATTTTAAATCAACCTTAGAAGTAATCCTAAATTTTAGTTAAGATTAAATTCAACTAAAATTTTAGTTTTAAATCTTTAACATTTCATTCCATTTTAATTTTTTTTTTAACCAGGAGAAATTCAATTGTAGATCAAGTATTACTAAACATGAAATTTAAGTGAATCTTAATTGTTGTTACTACTTTTATTTCCATTTAAAAATTATCAAATTATATAGGATCAAAGTTGACATAAAATATATTAATAACACGCATCTATTATTATAATTCGGTTCTTGGGTTCTGTATGGTACAGGACAGTTTGGTTCGGTTCTCGGTACGGATATTTATGAAATATCCAGAACCGTACCAATTATTTTTTCGGTTCGATTCGGTACGGTTCGGAGAAAGTCAAATAGTCAACGGATATTTTTCGGTTCGGAGTGATTTCGGTTCGATTTTTGCAACGATTCGGAATTCTCCAAGTCGCATGCTCAGCCCTACCGCTTATATTAGACTCATTTTTCCTATAGAATCAATGTGATACAACCCACACGTGATATTCCAATGATATTTTCTCTGTAGAGGAAACAACGATAATTGTAAGGATGCTAAAGTAGCTTAGTATTCAGATGGGAGAACCCAAAACGAGACAACAATGATAATTTGGAATTTTTTCCAACTCTATATTTAGTAAATACTATTTTTTTAATATAAATAAATATAGATAATAAAAAAGTTCGAATAACCCTATTTAGATTTGAATGTGATGCGTCAAAATTTTGGGGCCCTACAATACTGTGTACGCAGTTGACACTTGAATACATCCAACCATCCAAGCGAGAGCTGATTAATCAACTTACCAGTTTGATTTTGGTTATTTATTCAAGTTTTCCCTCACTTTGTTCTTTCAGTAATGGCTGCAAAAGGCGAGGGGCCTGCAATCGGGATTGATTTGGGAACCACTTACTCATGCGTGGGCGTGTGGCACCACGACCGCGTCGAGATCATAGCTAATGATCAAGGTAATCGCACGACGCCCTCCTATGTCGCTTTCGCCGACGGCGAGCGTTTCATAGGCGAAGCCGCCATTAACCAGGCCGGCATGAACCCCGCAAACACGGTCTTTGGTGAGCAGCTTTTTTCCCCAATTTTTCTTTTGTTTTATTTTTCTTTTGTTTTATTTTTCCCCACTTTTAAAATATATTTTCAATCAACGGTTATAATAGGAACGATATTAAAATATAATTAGTATAAATATTGATTTATATCCAAGCCTAACTCTAAAGCATGATTTTTTGCCAAATAGGATTCCGAAGCATGAGAGTTTGCCACGTAGGCTCATTATGAAATTATATATAGAGGGGATGTGATTTTTTTTGTTTATATATATTTGTTTGAGTTGACATCATAAAATACAATATAAAAAGCTGATCCAAAATTAATTTTATATTTAGAGTCAGTGTCTCTGGATTATTGATTTTAAGTATTATAAATTGATATAACTTAATAATTTAGAATATTAATATATATAGAAATGCACTATTTCCTAACTTTATGAACTACAACATTATTTAATAATGATATTTCTGTATATTTACTGTTTTAAACAACATAATATTATCAGCCAACTCCTCTCTTTCTATCTTTCCTGTCAGATCCTTTGACCAGCATTCTTTCTTATATAATTTACTTAAACTGAGAATAATATTTTATAATATTTCTTAAAATTTATTTTATGTAATACTTAATTTTCATATTTTATCCAAAATTTATGGCACGAATACAATAAAATAATTATTTATGGTGCATAGAATTAGATTTTTTATTATTTTTATAAAAGAATTTATATTGTTATTTATTTTTTTTAAATTGAGTTGATAGTAAAATTAATTTTATTTTTAAATATAGATAAATTGATTTTTTATTTTATATATGCAATATGGATGTCAAATCGAAGATCGTTAAAACATGATTATTTTGATAGATCATATATAGGATGCAAATAAAAAGTTATAAAGTTTTAATAATTAAAAGAATGCATATTTGTAATAGTTAATATTTGAATTAAATTGAAAAGGAATATGGTAACTTCATAAAGAAGGAAAACTATAATAGTTTATAGTAATTTCCAAAAGTAACAGTCGAAGCCAACCCTATGTCAATACGAAGCACAAATTTATACCAACTAAGCTTACGAAACATAACTGCTACTTAGACTCAGCGCATTCGGGAGTTATATAGGATTAATTTAACATATTATAGTGCACAAAATTTTCACTTTAGTATCGATTAAATTAGGACATGCTGAGTATAGATAAATTAAAGATCGAGATTCAACCTTATCTAGATTTGGTTTTGATGTGACAAAACTTAAAACTTTTGGGCTTATGTAAGGCTTGAATTTGACTTCTCTTTTCTCAATAAAGTATATAAAACCAGACCCGGTAAGGGGCTGCTGTGACAAACTTACAGCAACTCCAACAGTTAAATATAAGCCCTTGCATTAAATATAATTTAACATACATTCAAGGGTTAAAAATAGAAACAAAATTAGTCTTCTTCCCACATATTGGTTACAGCGGCTGCTGCAAGGACAACATACACCAAAAATATGGAGGAGCAAAATAGTTTTTATTTATTTATTTTTTACAAAAAGAAAACGGTAAGATAAGTATAAAATTACTTTTTCTTGCAATTATTTATATAGTTTAATAAATTGATCAAAGTCAGTTGCAAACATATCTTAAATCTTAATTTATGTTCATGTAAAAAAAAATATTGGATGTTATGTTGAATTAAATTGCCAATATTTTTATCAATCCAAAAATAAATTAAAAGTTAATTCATGGCCAAGTACAGAAAAAATGTTATTATTGGCGATCCATGGCCAAGTCCAGAAAAAATAAATAAAAAAAATGTTGGATGCATTGAATTAAATTATCCTGTTATCAACCTTGAAATAATTAATTCAAATTATTTCATTCAACAATATGATTTTTTTTATAGTGATGGTACATGTATTAATTGCATTTTAATATTGTTTTATATTATAACATTGAATTGTAGATATAATTTAAAAGTTAATAACTTTTGTAATTTTTATCAATTTTACATATATAACATATCAAATTAATCATCTTTCGATGAACTTTGATTAGACATCCATATTGTATGTATAAACTAAATAAATTATATTTATCTTTATAACAATAATAAAATTATTTGTTAATATTAATTAAAAAAATAAAACTATTTATCAATTAATATGTTTATATTTCCAGTAGTTATATGATATAAGTTAGAAAATTACTATAATATAACACATATAAGTCACACAAGTAACAAGTCTCAGTCTAAAATATATAATAATATATATTTTATTATAAAAAACTATTTAAATTTAAAATACTTTTTCTCATTAATTTAAAATTTAAGAATAAATTTTTTTAACAAACACTCGTGTAATGTGTATTCAGGGGCGAAACCGGAAAATTAGTTAAGAAGGGGCAAAAGACATGTAATTACAATTGTTGGCCTTGTGAGTAGAGCTGCAAACGAACCGAACGTTCGCGAACAAAAGCTCGTTCGAGTTCGTTCGAGTTCTACAAAAGCTCGTTCGTTTGTTAATCGAGCCGAATTCGAACAGAAAATTAGGCTCGTTTAATAATCAAACGAACACGAACTCGTTCGTGAACGTTCGATTATGTTAGCAAACATTAATTTAATATAAGTTTATTTTATTTTTTATATATTTACATAATATTTCTAATAAATAAAATCTAAAATTTAATATACTTTTTATTTATTTTTCATATATCTACGTAATATTTGTAAATAAAAATCTAAATATATTAATATTTTCATTTTATTCTTTTATTTTTAAGTTCGAATGAGTTCGAACGAACAAATTTCGAGTTAATTCAAACACATTTAAAAAGCTTATGTATAATATTATTAGAACATGAACGAACTCGAACCTTGACGAACAATTAAACGAACGAACTCGAGCACGACTTTTTGCTCGAAAAATAAACGAACGAACAGAAACACTGTTCGAACGTAAACAAACACGAGCTCGAACAGCCCAAGCTCTGTTCGTTTACATCACTACTTGTGAGTGACGTTTAAAAACAAAAAATGTGAGGATGCAAAAAATAATTTAAGAGGAGGACAAATTAAAATTTTTAGTTATAATAATAAAAAATATTAAAATTTGAGGGGGCAATTGGCCCCTAGTGATGAATGTAAATTCGCCCATGTGTGTATTGTACTAATTATCCATATATACACCTAAGTTCCTAACCTTGATCTTCATTAATAAACGCTTAAATTTTAACCAGGGTAGTGAAATTTAGTGGTCTAAAAAAACTCTTAAAAACAGGTAAAATAATTCTTGAGGTTTGGATGGAATAATATTTTAAGTTTCCAATTAGAATAAATTAATTGTGCTCTTGAATTTCGTGAGGTGATGACCGAAGAGAATGGGTTTGAAAGGTTATTTTCTATTTTTAACCCTTGAATGACACGACACATACACACACAAAAGAATACAGATACAAGTTAGTTCTTATTTTTAACCCTTAGATGTATGCTAAATTATATTTAATCCAAGGGCTTAGATTTAACTGCCCCCTTACCCAAAGAGACCCACTCTACAGGGCCGCCGTATCCGCCCGTATAATACTGCTGTGTACGGATTTGATACTTGAATACTCATCCATGAACCAACTATACAAGAGGCGAGAGCCGATTACCTTACCAGTTTGATTGTGATTATTTACTCAAGTTTTCCTTCTCTTTGTTCATTTAGTAATGGCAGCAAAAGGCAAGGGGGTGGCGCCACGACCGCGTCGAGATCATAGCCAATGATCAAGGTAATCGCACGACGCCGTCATATGTCGCTTTCGCCGACGGGGAGCGTTTCATAGGCGAAGCCGCCATTAACCAGGCCGGCATGAATCCCACAAATACAGTCTTTGGTGAGCAGCTTTTTTCCCCAATTTTTCTTTTGTTTTATTTTTCCCCACTTTGTCAGTTTGTTGTAGACTTCAGACTTCAGAGAAGAGAGGAAGGGAAAAGAATAAGCGCTTCGAGGCGTCCGGACAAAGGCATTAACACTAGGAGAAGAATAATTAAATAACTGCAGCTATTAGAAAAGATTGAAAAGTTATCATAAACCTCCTCTTCATAAATCCAGTACAGACACATGTTGATATTGGTAACCTACTATGCCGGGTTATTAAACTCATTCCCGTAACCTTGTTGGGTGATGCAGATGCGAAGCGTCTGATCGGGAGACGATACAGTGACGCCTCTGTGCAGGCTGACATAAAGCTGTGGCCTTTCAAGGTTGTCTCGGGCCCCACGGACAAGCCCATGATTGTGGTCTCCCACAATGGCGAGGAGAAGCAGTTCCCCCCTGAGGAGATATCTTCCATGGTCCTCACCAAGATGGCTGCCATTGCCGACTCCTATCTGGGCCCCACCCATGTCCGGGATGCCGTCATCACCATCCCGGCCTACTTTAGCAACTCTCAAAGACAGGCCACCAAGGATGCCGGTGCCATTGCCCGCCTCAATGTCATCCGCATCATCAATGAGCCCACTGCTGCCGCCATTGCCTATGGCCTCAACTACAAAGGAGAGAAGAAGAATGTGTTGGTCTTCGACTTAGGTGGTGGCACCTGTGACGTCTCTATCCTGACGATCGACAAGGGTACGTTCGAGGTGAGGGCCACTGCTGGCGACACCCACCTTGGCGGGGAGGATTTCGACAACCGCATTGTTGCTCACTTTGCCAAAGAGTTCAAGCGCAAGTACAACAAGGACCTTTCCGAAAACCCACGGGCCCTACGGAGGCTGAGGACAGCTTGCGAGAGGGCGAAGAGGGTTCTCTCGACCAATACTAAGACCAACGTGGACGTTGAGTGTCTGCACGAGGGAATTGACTTCCACTCTAGCATTACCCGCGCTAAATTCGAGGATCTCAACATGGACCTGTTCGAAAAATGCGTCGACCCTGTAGAGAGCTGCCTGAGAGATGCTGGGGTGGAGAAGGCTGCCATCCATGATATCGTTCTGGTTGGAGGCTCGAGCAGGATTCCCAAGGTTCAGAAGATGCTGCAGTTTATTTTCGAGGGAAAGGAGCTGTGCAGGAGCATTAACCCGGATGAGGCTGTTGCGTACGGTGCCGCCGTGCAGGCAGCCGTCCTACGTGGCATAGGGGACGACAAGGTGCGGGACCTCGTCCTCCTCGATGTGACCCCTCTCTCCCTAGGAGTGGAAATTGTCGGGGAGGTCATGTGTGTTGTGGTCCCGCGTAACACGATTATCCCCACTCAGAAGGAGCATGTAATCACAACGAGTGTGGATAACCAGACAACTTTGAGTTTCCCGGTCTACGAGGGCGAGCGGGCGAGGTCAACAGACAACAACCTGCTCGGGCGGTTCATACTGAAGGGAATCCCACCTGCCCCGAGGCACGTGCAAAATGTGGACGTGTGCTTCAAAATTGACGCCAACGGCATACTCAGTGTATCGGCAAAAGAGAGGTCGACGGGCAGAACAAACGGGATCACTATAACCAATGAAGAAGGGAGGTTGTCGAAAGAGGAGATTGATAGGATAGTGTGGGATGCCGCGAGACACAGGGGGGAGGATGATGACTACAGGAGGAGGGTCAATGCTAGGAACAGCCTCGAGGATTATGCTTATGAAATGAGGAACACAGTCAGGGCTGCAGCCGGGCTGGCGGCGGCCGACAAGAAGATGGTGGAGGATGCGGCGGTGTCGGTTATTCAGTGGGTGAGGGAGATGAATTGGATGAAGGCCAGTGTGGATGAGCTCAACCATAGGATGCGTGAGCTTAAGTGCATTTGCTGGCCTATCATTATTAAAATTATTGATTTGGAGTCCGACTTCGATTAATGATAATCTGATTGCTCTTTTTTATTTTGTCCACATTTAGGGCCATGGGTTAAGATTTTGTGTCAAGACGCTTTTGTTGTTTTGGTTTGAACATGTCCTTAGACCGTTATCTTTGATTCGTTTCAGTTTCTGCCCAACATGTATATATGGTGCTTGTTGGTTGCTATGACGAGTGTGTAACCAGTGATGATTTTATGTTTACTTCATTGAGCGAGATTTTTGGCCGTTTTTACCCTATAAAATTTATTAACCCGCACTGTACTTGGTTTCTTAAAATAGCCTTGATTGATTCTCATATAAGTTCTGGACTTTATTACATTGCTTGATTGATTTTTATTATAATTACTATGGAGAGCAAATTCCTTCACACCCATTGGTTTTCACACTCATTTACTCACATTTAAGTTTAACAATTAAATATATACAGGGTGGGAAAAGAAAGGTTTAACAACTAAGGGACTCGAAATTTGCAGAAACTATGTTACAACTATTAGAAGAAAAAAGGATCTGTTGACGTACACGAAATGGATCTTTCCAACAATTTTCCTCATACATGAAAATTGAAATCAAGCTTTGGATCCATATATAAGCATTATCCTCTAATTTTTACACTACGGTATGAAATCAGAATATAAAAATCCAATATTTTGAAAGTAGTACTTTAAATATGATTCGGTTGAATTGTTAACACCTAAAATATCTTAATACAATAATTAATTATAACACACACTCTTAAATACCATAGTTAATCATGGAAAATGTATATATAAAAAAAAATGGAAAAAATAAATTCAAATAATGTAGGAAAATATATAATTGGCGCGGATATAATTATAAAAAGTAAAAAGTCTATAATTAATTTAAAAATATAATTAAAAAACCTATCAAAATATAAAGAGTATAATATTTTAAAATTAACATAAACATTTTAACTTTTTACATCTAAATATTTGAACATGTTAAGAACTAAAAGTTAATAAATATACACTTTTGAATGCTCAGTCTTAATGGGCAATACTATAATAACTTTATCATAGTATTTTATTTATATATATATTTATTTGGTCAATTAATAGTGCTCTAAATAAACAATGAAAACTTTAAAGTATTTCAAAATATTAATTGTTAGTTTACTATAAATTTTCCCGCCTAGAGCACTAGCAGCATTAAATTTTATTATTTTTTTTTTCCTCCTAAAACAGTTACAAAACACAAAATTTAATATTTTTTTCCTTTTTTTTTTTCTGTAATCAATTTCACATAAAATAACGTTTTCTTTGACTTAATTTTTAGATCCACAATTATAATAACAAGATGTCTGCAAATTTAGTTAGTATATATTTCAGTCTAAAAATATATATAAAAAGATTCTGCTCGAATCCTATATGTATCATGTTCGCAGCCTAACGGCATAGTGTTAGATTAAATATTTCACCCATTGGCTGGTGGAAGCAAATTTGTAATAAAAATTCTAATTTATATAATATACTTCCATCATAAACTAGTACAGAGCCCGTGCGATGCACGGAGTGCACAATTTTAAGGCTATTTATCCAGGCTTATAGTTATATATATGAATAAAGAAAAATGTACGGAATATATATAGTACGTGCGAAGCACGAGATATATTTATTTGGAGAATATTATATTATAAGGTGCAATATTCAATAAAAGTTTATAATACGCAAAAAATTGTACAATGTTCAATAAAAGTTTTATAATATTCAAGTAGAGTCTTAAAGTCTCTTGTACATTAAGACTACTGACAAAATAATATTTTAATCAATGAGTTTCCTTTCCTTGTAGCCAAATTGTGAATGTGATTTGAGGAGTACAACAAATCGATATATAGATGACTTGCTTTTTTCATTGTAGTTTTTTTTTTCTTTTTTTTTTTTTATAATGAATTTAAAGATATTCTAAAATATAGCAAAAAATAATTTTTTTATTACAATTAGGAATTTTACAAAATATAAACTCTCAATCTATGGTGTTAATCAACGTTTAAGTCTAAAAAATTAGGAATTTTTACCCCTTTTAATCAACGTTTAAGTCTAAAAAACAATAGAGTTATTATAAGTTTTTTTTTCTACATCTTTTAAAACATTAAATATGAGCATGTTAGGGCTAGCTTGTAAAATAATTAATATATTATCTCACTAAAACATTTATACTAATAAAAATTTAATTTTAGCATCTACATTTATCCCTTAATATGAGAGAAAGTAACAGTTTTACTTATTGTTGTTCACCATATAATATTTAATTATTATTTTATTATATAATAAAAAAGAAATATTGTTAAATAGTGTAGTAGAATTGTTATAAAATTATATGATTTTTTTTTACAATATGGATTTAATATTTTTTTATGATTTGATAATATAAACAAATCTATACTTAACTTTGACAAATAAAACAAATAAATACTTTAGTAAGTATTTAATGTATATACTAAATAGAAATATATTTGCTATAATCAAATACCAAATATAATCAAATAAGTCAAAGTGTACATTTTTATTTGGTATTTGATTTTTTTATTATTAAAATCTTTTTATTATACTTACCTTTTTAAAATAAAATAAATAAATAAATTAATTAAATAAATAAAATATTATAATACCAAATACGCCTTTCCCCTATTCCCTCTGAATCCCTAATTCCGCTTGCCCTCTTTCCTCGATTCGCCTGATTTACGCCTTCCACAGCGGCCGACGGGTTCCGCCGGCGGTCGGCTCCTGGCCGCCTGCTCCTCAACCCGTCGTGTCCCCTCTTGCTCCTTCGCAACGCAACGGAAAGGATGGATTTGCGCCGGTGGTCGTCGCTGCTTCTCTGGCAGGTCCCGGCTTCGGTCTAGGGTCGTCGTCTCCTTCCTTAGGCGGTGGTCTCTTTTATTATCTATATTTATTTATACTTAAAAAATAGTACTATTTAATAAATATAATTGGGAAAAAAAACCCCAAATATCATTTTTGTCTCGTTTTGGGTTCTCCCATTTGTTTCGAAGCTACTTGTCACTTGAGCATCCTTACAATTATCATTGTTTCCTCTAAGGTGTGTATGAAGTATTTGCAAGAGAAAACAGGAATTCAGTAAAGACACATTAATTGCATGTAAATCAATTGTCAAATTTCCGAGTTTTCAAAATTCAAAGTTATCATCATATTCATTAGTTATTTTCTTTGTCCATGTAAATCAATCGTAGTTATTAAACATAAATACATACAGAAAAGTCAACTTTCGATATTTATATATGTTTGTGATAGTAAATCAATAGCATTTTTTAAAAATAAATCAACGTTCGTGAATCATTTTTGTGATTGTAAATTAATCGCATTTTTTGCGAATTTCTTTGCAATGCCCGTTGGAATTGCTTTGCAACATGAGAGCAGGTAGGTATTCACATGAAAATGCAAGAACGAATGCGTAATAATGAGTGTATGATGAATATGTGAGTGTTTGATAAATGTGTGCATGATGAATAATGAATGTATGATAAATGAGATTAACTTATCGTATATTTTTGTCGGGCCATTCAGTTTTGAGATTGGCTAAAGCCACTTTGATTTTGTTTCGCCGTTATGCTTTGATAACGGTTGCACTAGGATTTTGTTTGACCTTTCGGCTTTGTGATCGGCTCAAGTCGTTCTAATTTTGTTTCGTCGCTCGGCCTTTAGAACGGCTAAAAAGCCATTTTGATTTTGTTATTAATTTTAATTTTATTTAGATATATTAAATACTTGTATAAAAATAAAACTCACAAAAAAACATTTACACATAGTTTACATAAATCTTATTTAATTTTTATCTAACCATATATATTATATATTTATTCATTTAATTTATTGGATGAATCAAATGATTGGGGACTTTAGTCGATATAGTGATTTCTTAGTCGTATATTACGATAACAAGTGCTATTGATATTTCAAATAATCATATTTAACATTCTCGTACAAAACACATAGATCTATGTTTGAGATTTAGTTGAGGAAAAAAGAGTATATTGGAACTGAGAATCAATTAACACTGCTTTGACCCATACCCCTCCACCAAATTCTACATATTTTAAGTACATGGTATACTTCACAAGAGTTCGTGACCACAACTTTTTTTTTTTTTTTTTTTCTAAAATTAAAGAAGTGATTTTAATTTTTTAAATAGCCAACGTAGTGATTTTTCATGGAAAGTCTAGGCAAATCAGTAGTCATTGCTACTTATGTTTTGGTTCGTTGTTCGACCTTAGGCCTTCTCCAATGCTGCAACACTTCTTTCATTTTTCCAAAGTTGTGTGACAATTTTTCCTCCAATGCTGCGCTAGAAACTGGCACCACTCCAGAGATGTGGCACCACTCCAGAGATGTGAGTAGTGCATCGCCACATGTGGAAAGCCCATATGAAGCCCAAATAGGGTTCCATCCTAAAACCAATTGGTGGAAGGAGGAGTAGTTCATTAGTCTTATAAAGTGGGTCTGTTTCCATGTATGAATGATGTGGGACAACTTACAAGTGATATTCTAACGCGCCCCCTCACTTGTGAGTCCTTCGAAAGCCTAAACCCAACTGGTTGGGTGACGGGTACGTCATAGCACGGTCACTAATAGAACCGACTCTGATACCATGAAAGAAACTGGGAAAAAACGGGTGCGGGCCCACTATCATGAAGCATACCATGAATGGGAAAAGCCCATATGAAGCCCAAATGGGGTTCCATCCCAAAACCAATTGGTGGAAAGAGGAGTAGCTCATTAGACTTATAAGGTGGACCGACTCTGATACCATGAAAGAAACTGGGGAAAACGGGTGCGGGCCCACTATCATGAAGCACACCATGAATGGGGAAAGCCCATATGAAGCCCAAATGGGGTTCCATCCCAAAACCAAGGAGGAGTAGCTCATTAGACTTATAAGGTGGGTCTATTTTCCATATATGAACGATGTGGGACAACTCACAAGTGATATTCTAACACGCCCCCTCACTTGTGAGTCCTACGAAAGCCCAAGTCCAACTCGGCTGGGTGGCGGGTACGTCATCGTATGGTCACCAATAGAACCGGCTCGGCTGGGTGACGGGTACGTCATCGTACGGTCACCAATAGAACCGGCACTGATACCATGACAGAAACTGGGAGAAACTGGGTGACGGGTACGTCATCGCACGGTCACCAATAGAACCGGCTCTGGTACCATGACAGAAACTGGGGGAAAAACGGGTGCGGGCCCACTAACATGAAGCGCACCATGGGAAAATGGGAAAAGCCCATATGAAGCCCAAATGGGGTTCCATCCTAAAACCAATTGGTGGAAGGAGGATTAGCCCATTAGAATTATAAGGTGGGTCTATTTTCCATATATGAACGATGTGGGACAACTCACAAGTGATATTCTAACACGTGTGAACAAAATGGCTCCATCCATGCTCTAAGTATAAGAAATTTTTATTAATCTTCATTGTAATCTCATAGGCGTGTCTCCTTCTCTTGTTTGCACAATGCAAGTTTGTAAAAGTAGTAAACGATATTCAGTAGTGATTACTGATGGTATTTCAGCATGAAAGGTTGTTTGTTACAAGATGAAGGATTACAAAGCTATAAAACAAATTAAACCAATAAACATACCGTTAAGAAATAAGAACAAGTCACAGTTGGCGAAGGCGCTCTTCCATACGGGTCCTAATTTTTTCAAGGTGGCAGGTGATGCCACGGAAGTTGCAAACACGGTCCTCAACGTAATTTGATATATCTGAGTTAGAGTGAAAACCCATTGAGAGGCAACAAGATTCAATAATCTTGTGTAAGATCATTGAGACTAAAAGGTTGGTCCTAGGAAATCTAAATATCTCTGTACGAAGACATATAAAAGAAGCGGTTTTGCTATGAAGCCAACAGTTGGTTTCATAGTGGAGCTAACCTTCTATATACAACAAATAAACCTACCATATTTTCTGATTACTTAAATAACATTAATATAATTTTATTAATATGGTACATTTATTTGTTGTATATAGAAGGTTGGCTCCACTATAGAGTCAACTGTTGGCTTCACAGCGAAACCGATAAAAGAAGAAGAAGAAGAAGAAGAAACTTATTATTTTATATACAAAAAAATTGGTAAAAATGACCAATATAATCAGAAATTCTATGACGCCCAATTGGGCGCCGTATGACAATGCCACAATGTGATGCGGCTGATTATGTGGCTTTTATTTATCATATTCCAAATTTCCCGTAAACCAAATCATCTTCTTCCCCATTCTTAGCATAAGAATTTCAGAAAATCTCTCAGCCAAAAATCGAACAGATCGCAATCGATCTCTCCCTCATCATCAAATCGCCCTAAATCTCATCAACTTCCTCTTTCGGTTGATTTCAGTCGCATCGCACCTTAGCTGGAGAGGATTCTAGTCGCCCATTAATCCAGCCCTCTTCGTCAAATCGCGAATCGTCAATCTCACCGGGAATAGAACGTGGCCGGGAAGTTCTCAGCCCCTGTTCAAATTTCAGAACCCGTCAAGGAATTCCCCTCCATCGCCGGCGAGTTCCTTTTTCCCTGCAGGCGTAGTTCGCCGGCAATAATCCGAGCAGCCCTCGCCGTGAGCTCGGCCGATGCCAAACTGCTTCGGCCTCTTCTCGAACAGCGGGTTCACGACTTTCTCGGGCTTCTTCTTCCCAGCGGCTTTGCGCCCTTCTTCGGAGCGTCAAACAGTCCATTTCGATGCAAGCACGGATATTAGTTGAAAAGATAAAACACGCATTGCAGATATTGGGAAGAGGGCAAAAACCATTTCTTCTTCGTCTGCTGATAGACGGCTATGGAACCCTAATGAGTTGATTATGTTGAAAGAAAATATTGGGAAGAGGGCAAAAACCATTTCTTCTTCGTCTGCTGATTCATTTCTTTCCCAATTATTGTTTTATTCTTTAAGGAAATATTAGATAAAGCCAGTGCCATGTTGGAAATTCAGAATATGATAAATATGATAAATAAAGCCACGTAATCAGCCACATCACGTTGTGGCATTATCATACGGCGCCCAATTGGGCGCCATAGAATTTCTGCCAATATAAGAATTGAGTTATATATATAAGAGAAAAATATTTAATTATTTCGTAAGAAAAAAGACAAAAAAATGTTATTCCTTTGATTAATATATTTTTGTAAATATACATGGATGTAGATGTAGACTTATGGAGTTTCTTCTCATTAATAATATATAGTTTGCCTAAAGTATGTATGAATATCTAAATATTTGTTAAATTTTATAATAACATATTTTAATATAACCTAAATAATTTTACACTATTTTCAAACTTGAGCTATTCATAAAACATAATAATTATTTTATATTATGTTGTACATTATAATTAATTTATTATATATTTTTATTTGACAAAAAAATTACTAAATATACTAATATTAGTAGGTTATGAAAATTCCAACATTTTGACCTATCAAATGAGAAAATACGGAATATTTGAATATGGTAAAAATATATGTGTCAAAAAAATTATTCCATATTTACTAGATTATATTATTTATGTTAACTTTTTATTAGAAAAAATTACCTTAAAAAAAAAAGAAAATGCAGGAAAATTTCCATAGGTTATTCATAGAGAACTTTTTCTTTACTACTATATAGATCATAGGACCGAGACAACAATGATAGTTGGGATTTTAATTCCAATTATTTTTTTTAGATACTATATTTTTAATATAAATAGATATAGATAATGAAAGTATCGAATGCAATCCTATCAAAATTTGAATTTGATACGTCTCCATATATCTGAAAAGACTGTGTACGGAGTTGACACTTGAATACATCCAACTATCCAATAAACGAGTGCTGATTACCAGTTCGATAGCAATTGTTTATACAAGCTTTCGTTCAATTTTTTACACTCAGTAATGGCCGGAAAAGGCAAGGGGCCTGCAATCGGGATTGATTTGGGAACCACCTACTCGTGCGTTGGCGTGTGGCAGCACAACCGCATCGAGATCATAGCGAATGATCAAGGAAATCGCACGACGCCGTCCTATGTAGCTTTCGCCGACGGCGAGCGTCTCATCGGCGAAGCCGCCAAAAATCAGGCTGGCGTGAATCCCACAAACACCATATTTGGTCAGCTACTTTCTTCTCCAATTTTTCTTTTTGTTTTCTTTTCCCCTCAGAAATTTCGGCGATTATATCTGGTATTCATTTTATCTTTTCAACTCGGATAATTTTTACGATTAAGTTCGTTGCTGTCTCTTCCGAAATTTCATGGTGCTACATTGAATTTCAGTTGCACAGTATTGTTAGCAGCTTGGTATATGTGAGGTGTTGATATTGGTATTATTAGTTCATATTATCAGTTCCGTCTTGGGTCGTGCAGATGCCAAGCGGCTAATCGGGAGACGATACAGCGACACCTCTGTGCAGGCCGACATAAAGCTGTGGCCGTTCAAGGTTGTCCCGGGGCCCGCCAACAAGCCCATGATTGTGGTCTCCCACAAGAGCGAGGAGAAGCAATTCCCCCCTGAGGAGATATCATCCATGGTCCTCACCAAGATGGCCGCCATTGCCGACTCCTTTCTGGGCCCCACCCCTGTCCGGGATGCAGTCATCACCGTCCCAGCCTACTTTAGCGACTCTCAGAGACAGGCCACCAAGGACGCCGGTGCCATCGCCGGCCTCAATGTCATCCGCATCATCAACGAGCCCACTGCTGCCGCCATTGCCTATGGCCTCGACTACAAGGGAGAGAAGAAGAATGTGTTTGTCTTCGACTTAGGCGGTGGAACCTGCGACGTCTCCCTCCTCACGATTAATGACGGTACCTTCAAGGTGAGGGCAACTGCCGGAGACACCCACCTTGGCGGGGAGGATTTCGACAACCGCATTGTCTCTCACTTTGCTGCCGAGTTCGAGCGCAAGTACCGCAAGAACCTCTCCGAAAATCCCCGAGCTCTACGGAGGCTGAGGACCGCCGGAGAGAGGGCAAAGAGGATTCTCTCCACCAACACTGAGACCAGTGTGGACATTGAATGCCTGCACGAGGGAATTGATTTCCACTCTAGCATTACCCGTGCTAAATTCGAGGATCTCAACATGGACCTGTTCCAAAAGTGTGTCGAGCCAGTCGAGAGCTGCCTTAGAGATGCCGGGCTGGATAAGACTGCCATCCATGACGTCGTTTTGGTTGGTGGCTCGAGCAGGATTCCCAAGGTTCAGAAGATGCTGCAGTTTATTTTCGAGGGAAAGGAGATGTGCAGGAGCATTAACCCGGACGAGGCTGTTGCGTTCGGGGCTGCCGTTCAGGCGGCCGTCCTAAGTGGCATAGGAAACAACAAGGTGCGGGACCTCGTCCTCCTCGATGTGACCCCTCTCTCCCTAGGAATAGAATCTCTCGGGGATGTCATGACCGTCGTGGTCCCGCGGAACACGACTATCCCCACGCATAAGCAGTATACATTCACCACGGTTGACGATAACCAAACATATGTGGGATTCCCGGTATATGAGGGCGAACGGGCGAGGTCAAAAGACAACAACCTGTTAGGGAAGTTCACAGTGCATGGGGTCCCACCTGCCCCGCGGGCAACACCCAAACTGGACGTGTGCTTCAAAATTGACGTCAATGGGATACTAAGCGTGTCGGCCAAGGAGAGGTCGACTGGCAATATGAACGGGATCAGTATAACCAACGAAGAAGGGAGGCTGTCGAAAGAGGAGATTGATAGGATAGTGTGGGATGCCGCAAGGTACAGGGCAGAGGACGAAGAGTTTAAGAGGAGGGCAAAAGCTAGGAACAACCTTGAGAATTATGCTTATAAAGTGAGGAACACGGTGAGGGTTGCAGCCAGGCTGGCGGTGGCTGACAGGAGAATGGTGGAGGATGCTGCGGAGTCGGTTATTCAGTGGGTGGGGGGGAATTGGATGCAAGCCAGTGTGGATGAGCTCAACGATAAGATGAGGGAGCTTGAGCGTATTTGCAGCCCTATCATTAAAGTTGATAAGGAGTCCGGTGAATTGTAATCTGGCTATTGGGTTTCTTCTTTTGTCAACATTTAGTGCCTTGGTTAAGATTACTTGTGTCATATCTTGAGTTTTGTTGTTTTGGATTGAACATGCCTTTGGGGTTAGACGTGTCGTTAAAACCATTATCTTTTTATTTGTTTCAGTTCTTTACCTGAAACGTAAGGTGCTTGTTGCTACGACGAGAGTGATCAATGCTGGTTTTATGTGATTAATTTTCCTGTGAGCAAGTCTTCACCATTTTTACTGTGTAAACGTTTTATTTATTAAGTCACACTGCACAGCGGGTTTCCAGTAGATTTTGACAGAATCAAGCTTAGCTCCGACGAATGTGGCAAAGAGCGAGCATCATGGGGCAAATGTGGTGACGAAATGTCCTTCTCTCGAGTAGCAGCTGGTTAGTTTGTCCCTGCTTTAATTATGTGTTTCCCAGTTTCATCCAAGATTATCATTGTTCTGCCGTCAACGCTCCAGTTTATTGTTGACTTGGCCCTAATATGTTTGGACGTGTCTCAATTTGTGTGGTTGATGCTAATTTCTTCTCTTTAAATGTGTTGGGTTGATTGAGCTTGAAAATGTAAGTTAATGGCGGGTTCCAGGTTTGGGAAAGAAGAGTGTGCCTTTATCGTGAAATCCTAATTCACGAGTCACGATTGCTTTCTCGAGCCGTGAAATGAAATTACAGCTTGACGATTTTGCTTGTTTCCCATCGTGCACATGCTCTAGCTAGCCATTTTGAAAACAATTTTAAATATCAAGTTGTTGATCACATGACAACCACTGAATATACTTGTGATGCAAAAAAAGGACACAATTATAGACAATGAAATTGAAGAACTTTTAAACATATATAGTTACATGATGTAAAAAGTAAAAAAAAAAAAAATATGTCTTCCACTATTTAACCTAAAATTACCAAACAAGTCACTTTGTGGCAGCACAAGACGGCCGAAGATCAGTGGCGCCGACATAATCACTCCGCCTCTTGCCGCCTTCTGGAGCTCGCGCAGATCCCAATCACCACGACGCCATTATTCTGCGAGAAAATCACAGAGACGCCGTCCATGGAGTTGCGTGCCGACACCACCTTGAAGACCTTCATCTTCGTCATCGACCTTTTTTTTTTTTNGAAACTCGACGAGACTATGCAGCCTCACGACCGCCGCCGTGCGTTGGGCTTCGATGGTCGTCGGCGTGAGTTGTCCTCCGACGACTTTTGCAACGTCTCTCCGACGAGTTATGCGGTTCTCTCGGTCCCATTTGCTGCGATGTCGTCTCCGATATGCTCTCCCCAGCGGCAGTGCTGTCACCGGAAGTGCGATTCAGGATATTAGGATGAAATGATTTGTTGGAAATTAGATATCTTTCAAGGATCCATTTGTAACTTTTAAATCTTTTTTTTATTGCAAGTTCATTTGGTAAATCTGTAATTTATAAAAAATTAATAAATACTCATTATTTATAATCAAATGCATAATATGTGCATGTGTATACGTATTAAAAAATTATGTGATGTAGAATGCAAGACAATGTTCGACTAAATGTATATTAATGCATTCGATAATGCATACTAGTGTAACAATGTATTATGTTCAATGACACTGTTTGAAAACTAAAAAACACACCGTAACATTTATGCATTTTCACATGTACTAATGTGCAGTTAATTTAACTCTATTGTGCACTCTAAAACGTGGATAGATGTGCACAAATTTTGACAAAAAAAAAGGAAAAACCAAAACAGCAATAAAAAATTCAAATATGTTTTTATATGTCGATTTTAACTTTAAAATTTTTTGTTATGTCTATTCGATGACAACTTTATTTTTTCAATTTAAAAAATAGAGAATAAAATAAAATAAAATGTCCAAACCTCACAAACTATATAAAAAAAAATTATTTTATTATATTCTTATAAAAATAATAATTTCGTTACAGTAAAATACAATATAAAATATTACTTACAAAATTTAAAAAAATAATTATAATTTTTTTCTAATATAAATTTATTTCAGTCATTTTCTTTAGTTCAATTAACCGACAAAATAAGTCGATTAATTCAATTCGATTTTAATTTAGTTTGGAACAAATGTTCAATCATTCTTTTTTTTTTTATATATAAAAGTTCGACTTCATTATTTTAATTTCTACATTTCTGTAGGTCGGTATGACCGAAGCACCTGAATAACTATATTATGCATCATGTAGCGCGTTGATATTTCATTTATTTATTTTATTTTATTGGATCCTTAATTTGCATATTCAGACATGTTATTGTAAAATTTATTTATCGTTATTGTGCATTTAGTATTATTGTGAATTTAATCTATAACCGGTTATCGGATATTACTTTTCAAATTTTGGTTATGTGAGTTCAATTTCGACTTTATTAGAAAAAAATAATAATGAACTAATCGAACCGACCGTAGTATATAAAAAATATTATTGTATTATATTATATATAAACTATGTCTCTCCAACCCACAATAATATAAAATATTATATAATAATATTAATATACTAAAATATGTGTGTAATACAAATAATAATTTATTTGAAATATTCCGGTCAAATTCGGTAAACTAACCAAATAAATCAATCATGTCGGTTTGGTTTTTATTTGATTTGGGCAAAGATTCAGTCAATTTAATTCTTTTTTTATTTTTTTTCAAAAGTTCTTCTATGATATATCGGTCGGTAGGTTAGACAGAACAAACCGATCAACAACCCCAAGCTTCGTGACATTTTGGTAAATTTGTGACCTCTTAATTGTGTAGGCAACGACTGTCTAAATTCGTAATAATATAAAGGGTAAATAATTTTTTGCATCCTGTACTATACGCGTTTTTGGCATTTGCAACCTAAAGTTTTTTTTTTCATTATTTGCAACCTTTAATACACGTTTTGTCTGTATCGCAACCTAACGGCCATCGGAGTCCATATTCCACCGGAAAAGCGAGCGTGCGACTCGCACGCTCGAAACTTGAGGGTAAGATCGCCTTTTTCTCTGATGTTTGCAGGACATATTTGTCTTTCCATCACTGAACAAATTCCCGTTAAAATCACGATAAGTGAACAGAGTAAGACGCACGCGAAAATTCTTGGAGACAGCTTGGAGACGATGGCTCAATATTGCAATTGTCGCATCAATGTTGTTACGAAAACGTCGTGGACTGCTCATAATCCAGGAAGGAGTAAATTTCTGAATTTGGGGAAATTTCTAATTTCTGAAATTGTTCTCGTAATGCTTAGTTCCCTTTTCCAATGAATCTTGTAGGAGGGTGGTGATTGGTCATTTTTTATCTGAAATTTACTCTAATTTGTGATTTGGGCAAAAATAGTGAACCCTAAATTCTGAATTTGGGCAAAATTATTGAACCCTAATTTATTAAATTGATCTCGTAGAATTGAGTTCCCTTTTCCAATGATATTTGTAGGAGGATGGTCATTGTTCCTTTTTTTCTGAAATTACCCTAATTTTTGAATTAGGGCTAAATTAGTGAACCCTAATTTCTGAAACTGGGCAAAATTATTCAACCCTAATTTCTTAAATTGATCTCGTAAATTTAAGTTCCCTTTTCCACTGAATTTTGTAGGAGGAGGGTGGTTGTACATTTTGGATGTGGATTGAACCACCATTGTGCCCTAGAGCTCGTGAAATCATTCCAGGGCTTTTGAAGCGTGCCAACAAATTTGAAAGCGAAACTCAAATTCTTGAAGCAGACGTGATGAGGTTGAAAAATGATATGAAGATGCTTCAGTCAGATTTCAAGGAGGCCGAAGCATGTATTGAAGCTATTAAGGAAGAAATGGCTGAAATGGAATTGTGCTTGAAGAGGAAGAGTGTTCGGGAGCGTTGGATGTGGATTGTAATTATGATCTCTTGGTTAATCATGTATTGCATGATGTAGATTTTTCAGCTTTTAGCTTTGTGTTGTTAACTCTTTTGGTCCTCTTTTGGTTGATCAAACTATTTTGGTTTTGGTTGATCAAACTATTTTGGTTTTGGTTGTTCACTAAATGTGGCTCAGTCATTGTAAGATTATGTATGTATTGCATGATGTAGATTTTTTAGCTTTTAGCTTTGTGTTGTTCAAACTCTTCTGGTCCTGTTTTGATTGATCAAACCATTTTGGTTGTTCAAAGAATGTGGTTCAGTCATTTGTAGGAATTAGAACTTATGACTATTTTGTTGCTTGTTGTAGTGTGTTAGGGATAGCTGCACAAAGAAAGAAGAGGTTCCCACTGCCAATGCCATATATTATGACACTTTCACATAATCCTTTCACATAATCCTTTCCCACTGCCAATGCCATACACACATAAATGGCAGTGAAACAACCCATCAAATAAACTGGTATCCATTGAACACAATTTGATAGCCAAACATTATGAATGATTGTGATTGATTACAACACAATTACAAAACAAACCATTAAAAAGACCAACCATAATATCCAAAAGACATAACCATTGTATCTGAGTTCAACAAACACATCAACCACAGCCATTGTCACAAAATATCCATTACTGACCCCTACAAACACATCAACCACAACCACATCCACATGAAATTGTTTTTAGTTTCCAATATCTCTGAGAACTGACCCCTACTGATCCACTATGTCCCCACTAGTTGTAACCCAATATGTTCTCAAGATCTCTGGCTCAGGCTGAGATTGCACCACATGCTTCTTCACCACTGGTCCTTTTGTTGTTGTAAAGCTAGCACCTTGAGTCAATGGATTTTTCTTGGTCACCTATTAAATGGATAGTAAGATCATTAAAATATGTTGAAACAGACAGTGAAAATAACACACAATAAAAAAAAATAGAATACATTACCGCAAGTTTTCTCCTCAAGCCCAATGTCTTGCTTTTTTGCCCCAAATCATTTGTAGGTGTGAGACCTTTGGAGTGGCTTCTTGTTGACCTTGTAGGTGTAGCTACAGATTGAATTTGGCTTCTTGTCACCCTTGTAGGTGAAGTTACAACTGAAGGCCCTGCAGACTGACTCTGTTTTCTCATTTTAGGTGAAGTTGTAACTGAAGGCCCTGCAGACTCACTCTTTTTTCTCATTGTAGGTGAAGATGCAGGTTGTGCTTGGCTTCTTGTGAGTCTTGTAGATGCAGGCTGGCTTTGGCTTCTTGGTGAAGATGCAGGCTGCCTTTGGAATTTTGGTGAAGATGTAGGCTGCCTTTGGCTTCTTGGTGAAGCTGCAGGTTGTGCTTGGCTTCTTAGTGAAGATGCCGGCTGTGCTTGGCTTCTTGTGAGTCTTGTACATGCAGGTTGGGTTTGGCTTTTTGTGGATTTTTTTGGTACAGATTCATGAACAAGTT